ACAGGAATTGCTTAAAAACCTTGTTCATCAAATACATGAAGATGGCTGGTGTGTTAGTTAGTCCAAATGATATGACCCAGAACTCATAGTGTCTGTACCTTGTTCGAAAAACTATTTTAAGAATGTCTTCTGCCTTGATATTTACCTGATAGTAACCTGAACGCAGATCTATTTTGGAGAAGATCTGGGCACCTTACAACTGATCAAAAGGTCATCGATCCTGGGGAGGGGGTACTTGTTCTTGATCGTGACCTGATTCAGTCCTCTGTAATTAATACATAACCTTAACGTCTCATCCCCCTTCTTTGCGAATGTGACTCCAGCACCCCAAAGAGACACATTATGTCGGTTGAATCCACTATCCTGCAATTCATTGATCTGTTTTCTCAACTCCTCTATCTCAACACGACTCATGCGGTAAGGGACAATCGAAATAGACTGGGTGCCTGGCTAAAGATCTATGGTGACTTCAACTTCTCTGTCCACTAGCAGTTCGGGTAGTTCATCCAGAAACACATCCGGAAAGTCTTGGACTACTAGAATATCTTAAATACAAATTTCTTTCTTAGGTGTGTCTAGTTGGAGAAAACAGCCGAGTTAAAGCACTTAATAATAGAAAAAATTGTCATGAGAGAATAATGTTTAAAGAATTTTATTAATTTGTAAATGACTCTTCACTAGAAGGTTGAATACAACTTTCTTATGAAAATAATCTATGGTGGCGTGATACACCACTAGCTAGTTCATTCCTAAAATTACATCAAACTCCCCCGTGTCAATCTCTATTAGTTCCACACTCAATTTTCTATATGCTATATTTATGATACAGACTCTGTATATAACCTCCCCCAGTAGTGTCCTACTCCTAGGAGTAGATACAAACAACGTAGAATCAAGTCTTTCAGGTAATATATTTAAGTTTGATGTAAACACATGTGAAACAAATGCATGTGAGACATTAGTATCAATGAAAAACATGTGTAAAATGATTACAGATAGTGTATATACCCTGTATCATGTCTGCGTTGGCTTCTGCATCTTGCTGAGTGAGGTTGTAAGTCCTACCCTAGATCGGAGGTCTGGCCTGATTCTAATTCCTCGGGTACTCCCTTGCGTAACACTGGGCACACCCACATATGCGGCAAGTATTGTTGAGGCAATACAGAGTCGATCCCCATGATCCTTACCACAATACTGGCAAGTCCTACTGCATTTTATTGTCGGAATCTAAGGGGGAGCCTGAGTTATTGGCCTAAGTGTCTTGCTTTGCTGAACATGTACAGTAGATGCTGGTCTATGGTGTGAAACCAAGGGCCTGAGTCCCCTACTACTGGAA